CTTCAAAAAAAAAGTATGCTAGTTTCAATAATGGTAATGTGGGCTGTGACCATATACATTTTTACAATCATGTAAAATTACGTCTAGATAAAGAGTATTGGATGAAGGACGTTTCTAACGAAATACTTAAGGCTTTATGTTATGTATATAATACATATAATCAAGAGAACTTTAATAGTGATGATTGTTATTACCTATATCATTGGTTAAATGATATATTATATACTAATATAAGATTTCAATTACATACTAAAAGTATTATAACAGTACTTGAGTTTTTACTACAAAGTAATAATGGTCTTAATATATGTAAGAATATTGAATATAATATCAATAACGAAAATTATAGGGATATTAAGAAATTATTTGATTTTTCGAAAGACTATGATGATCTTTCAAAATATTTTAGTACGGGTCAGAAAATTTGTAATAGTGACTTTAAAAATTATCTGGATGAACATATCAGAATTTATAACGAGTTCAAAGATAAGTGTGAAAATTTAAAGAGTGAGAATACGACTTGTATATTTTTTAATAAATATTTTCAAGGTAAGACCGTAGAAGACTTATCTAAATGGAAATTCACATTAGAAGGAAATGGTCATATTTACTCAACACAAGAAGAAAAACATACAATATTAAGACAACCAAATGAACAAGGAGTAAAAACACTACAGACACATGCAGTTGTAAATACAGATAATAAGGGAAAAAATGAACATGAAAATGTAAATCAATATGCAAATATTAAAGCAGATAAACAAGATTTAAAACATCCAGAACTGGAAGATTTTGTTTTTACAACAGAAAATCCAGAATTGAGTGCCATTATTGATATTTCAGGTAGTCCTTCAGATTCAACCTCAAAAAGTATGGTAATCCCTCCTTTAGCTATAGGAATTTCCATTTTTTCTATTATATTGTGCAAAGTAGTTATAAATGTGAATAAAAAAGAAATGTGTATTCTACTATATTACATAAATTTTATTAATTATTAAACATATCTCAAAATATAATATATAAAATGTTTTGTGCATGTACCATATTTTAATTAGTTTACTCCCATTGGGTATTGGTTAAAAAAAGCATTACTGGGGAAATCTAAAAGGAAACATAATATTATAATGCATAGGAATATAATAGAAGATTATTCGATTTCTGAAGTTTTAGATTCACCGAGAAGGTTTAATATAAAATACAGAAATATATAATTGCCCTGCTTATGACAGAAGAAGTAATACATTTATTATATATATCAGCATCACGATAAGTAAGGTCGTACAAAAGTATTCATCTAACACATGACAAGGAATTATTTTTTTTTAAAAATAAAATAATAAATTTAAAACGTACATACTATATAGGGTTCTGGATTTAGGTTTCAGGTTTTGGGGTCTAGTGTCCATGTTGGGGATTTAGGGTTCAGGTTTTAGGATACAGTGTTCAGAGTATATGATTTAGGTTTAGTTTTTTGATTTCATTGTTTATGTTAGAATTTGATGATGTATATGTAATTGTATATCATTTTTCTTTAATTATGTTTGAAATGATTTTTCTATATTTTGGTTCATATCAAGGATATATATTTATATTAAAAAATATGTTTGATGCATTAATTCTTGTTTATCTATTTTAATATTTTGTGATTTTTTTATTAACGTATGTCTTTATGGTTCATAAATTACATATTTGAAATCGTAGTATGTTACATAAAATGATTACTTATGATTATTTTAAGTAACAGATTATATATTTTTTTTATGTAATGATATTATTATTGGGTATCTATAAAATCAGAATTTTGTATTTCTTTTGTATGTACATAAAATATTTCAATGGTTTCTATATTAATATATTTTTTTTTAATTTAATATCGTTATATATATATTTATAATTTAATGTAATTTTCGATCTCTATTTTTTTTGAATATATTTATATATGTGTATCCATATTCATAATCATAATTTTCATCAATATATACATCTATGAATACTCTTATATCTTCCTTATTAAAAACGTGGAGATCCTAAAATTTTTCATTTATTGAAATATTACCTATTTTATCTTAATCTTTTCGATTAAGTACCTTGAATGCAATACGATAAAAAATAGTTAATATCAAAATATATCCTGCTCGATATAAAACCCTTGTTCCATCCTCTCGTGGTTTTGAATGATATTTATATATTTTTCTCTTTACTATTATTACCATTGTTCTATTCACGCACATCCGAGTGCTTTTGTTTTTGAGATAATTTTGGAATTTTTTCTCCATATAATTTCTC